GCCTTTCCATATGTTTCACTTAGGTTGTTACCCATCATTTCTGACCGTTCCAGACACAGAGTTGGAAAGATAAATTCCTACTTGATTGGTACTGTCCTAGGATGAGCTGGGGTCTCATAGCTGTCTACTACATAGCTATCTACTGTAGCTTTTTTGTGGGTCTCTTGAAAAATTCTTTTTATTGAGACCTCATGCTAGATCTTGGTGAGTGACCCATATTGATCATGGGAAACACACACATTCTTGACTCTAACAAATTCATGGAAGAAAGGAAGATCCCAGTATAGATGTCTCTGCTTTGACTTGACCAGCAGTAGCTAAACATAATTATTGGTGCTGCAGGTATGTTGGGGATTAGTTGGTCGTGTGTTCCAATTCTATAAACACATCACAACTGCTAGCTTGATGGAACATGTGTCAAGATCACTGTAGGGCTCAGGTGAATCTGTACAGAGAAATCTTCACAGATCCATTCTTTTCATATTATTTTATTTTATTTGGGTTATGTGCGTGTGGTATATGTACACATTCATGCAGCTGTGTGCATATGTGATAGAGGGTGCTTATGGATGTGTGTATTCACACACATATATGGAAGGCAGATGTTGACATCAAGTGTCTTCCTAGATTGCTCTCTGCCTTGTCTTTTGAGACAGGATCTCTTATTCAACTTGGAGCTCATCAATTTGTTTAGCTGGCAAATAAGCTCTAGGGAACGTACTTGTCTCCATCCCTCCAATTTAATGGTGAGATTACAGACATGTGCTAAGATACACAGTGTTTACATAGGTGATGTGGATCTGAATTTAGGTAACATGTCTGAACATCACGTAATTTACCTGCTGGGCCATCGTCCCAGTCCCTTAATTCCATTTTTAATGCAGTTATACCTTTAATAAATATCAGATGCCTAAGAGTTCCTTGCCCTTAGTTGCATAAATTTCCAATTTCTTCTGTAAAATCTCTCACACAACCTAGTTTATTTTTCTTCTTCTCATGAATGGAGGTATAAATGATAAGAAAAGGGAAGGAAAATTCTAGAAGTTAATTTTGCAAGTCAGTAAGAATTGAATGCTTTAATCACAACAAAAGCAAAGCAACCCATGAATCAAAATTTCTTTAAATTACATTCATAATCAGTCAGAAAATAAATGGTTGTCAAAACAAATTTTCCATGTTTGAAAAGATTTGCTTGAGACCACATGGGATATTAGCATACATTTCAGTTCCTATCTTTGGAGAGGAAATACTTTTCCACGTTTTATATACACGAACTATTTTCTGAATCCATTGAAAGGAGGTCAAGTTTTAAGAGTTTAACCTGTCATACTTAATGTCTTATCAAATGTTTAGCAAATGTAATTGGCTTAATGATCCCTTCTAAACCCTTTTACTTTAGAAAAGTATTTATGAAACTAGTCATTGATATATCTTAAATCAGAAGGTAAAGACAGTATAAATAACCAAGGCTAAATTAATATGCTTAGGGAAAAATTAAAAATGCCACCTGCAAAAAAAATCTCATCAAATATCCATCATCAGAGGAAAATTCAGCAAATATTATGCTGTTCACATCTTTTGTCAACTGTTCACTAACGTTAATCATTTCAATGATAAGCGGTAAACTAATGTGGGCAAGATAAACCACCCTTTGCTCTTGAGTTGACTGTACTCCAGAGTAAGTGGCAGATATGGACACATGCACATCAATATAAGCATCGAGTACTAAACTAGAGTTTCCACACTTTAATATATTTAAGAATCATATAAGGTTCAGGTTCATTGTTCCCATAACATCTTCACAAATTCTGATTCTGGAAGTGTTGGATATAGTCCAAGCACCTGGGGCATTTTGAAGCAGGAATTACAGCCTGTGTGTGAAGGAATACTGCCTCAAATAGAAGTCCCACCAAAGCAACAGTCACATCTCTTCTTTCCCACAATAACCAAAGTCCTCACACTGAGCTGCCACACAACACGCATTCACCAGTTATTCTGATTGAATAGATGAGTGAGTGTGGTTAAGCTTCACTGTGCCTGGTACATACAAAATGTGATGTGGAAGTTCAGAAATACAGTCAGTTTCTCTACTTTATTTTTGTAAATTAAATTACTTTTTTTGAGACAATGTCTCCCCATGTAGCACAGGTTAGTCTGAGACTTGCTGTGTAGCCCAGGTTGGCCTCACGTCACAATGATTCTTCTGTCTCATACTACTATACCCTGCTCAGTGTCTCTCTTTAGGAAATGGGTTGTCTTGGGTAGAGCTATGAGATACTACAAATGACACTGGGGATAAGGTTGTAGAAAGAAATATCTGTGAAATGGAACTAAATGAGTTTAACTCCATCCTCGACTTCACGATGAGTTCATTTCCCTCCATTAACCCAGTGAGTTCATTTCCCTCTGTTAACCTGTAGCACCTGGCCCTCAAGGGCTGGCCTCCATGCCTCTAAATAGTGTCATTGTTCCATCCAAGAAAGCCTCAGAGCTCCATGAAGCCCACCCTGGCGCACTGAATTTCCTCTGATGTCCAAGCAGAATAGTTCCTCTGGGAATGTTAAGACAAATTAATTGTAGTTCTAACAGTGAAAAACACACACACACAAAAAATTGTAACAGATTACATTGAATGTGTAAGCATATGATTGCTATCTATTTCCAAACCCAAGTTATTGGCACCACTTTTCTTGGTGGCCATGATGATTATTCTAAAACAGCTGCATTGGCTTTCACAAACAGCTACAAATATTTTTGTAGCGAAACAAACCACTGGATTTAAAGATAAAATGAAATATTCAAATGCCTAGGCAATATTAGAAATTAAATTTTTTTTTCAAAGACTGTTATGAGGCTTGGACAGAAAAGCTCTGTTAAGACAGCAAAAGTGGGTTACAAAATAAGTGTGTGTGTGTGTGTGTGTGTGTGTGTGTGTGAGAAACATCACAGGGAAAGTAGGAAGGGAGGGAGGAATTGTGAGCAAGTATTTCTATATCAGCCATGATGGTGGAGGGAACGGACCACCATGGAGCACAGATTGACCCTGGCCAAGGGGAAGTAGAAAGGACAGGAGAATCAGAGTGACAAGCTATGTAGACTCTGATGGGACCTATTCTGAGACTTTCCTAGAACTGAAGGCCTCAGAGAGCAAAATCTTGGGATTGCATTTTGAGAGCTTGCCTCCTCCAACCTGCGATAATCTGCCAGGTGAATTGGGACCATCACTAATTTTCTCATACATTGACCTGTGAGGCTCGGTGACTAAAGGTTCCTACCAGTTTCATTTCCTCACAGTATGAAATTCAACCCATCAAGGCGGGAAAGAACGGGGGAAATGAGAAAGGAAAAGAAGGGGTTCTTTAGAAAGGAAAGCAGGGAGCTTCATTGAGATGGACTGTATATCTGAAGAAAGAGCCAATCAATGCTCTCCAGGGTCCCTTCAGCGGGCACCACATCCTTTCCTAGTCTCAAGACTTGAGAAGATCAATTACAAGCTAAAAGTCACATATAGGAAAATTCGTATTTTGTGGTAAATAAAAGTCTATTTTCTTTAACTGATTTCAAGATGTTCCAGTTGGATATTTACAACATTACCCCTCCAGTATGTCTCCATCGGGAGTTTTCAGTCTTGGAATATGGCAAAATAACAGTTCACTTTTAAGGCTTCACTTCTAATTTAAATTATTCTGCTATCATCTCTTTGGTAAAGTATATGTATACAATATAATATATGTTATAAACGTATATGTATATATTTACGTGAAAGAGATTAAGCCTCCACACAAGTTCAGAGACACATTTGTGAACATGTGTAAATTATGTCCTAATTTTAATGTAGATATGACAAACATTGATATCCTCAGACAGCTATTTCCATGGTTCAGAAATTTCTCCCAAAGTCATCTCAGAAAAGCAAAAGAAGAAACCCTGTCTCAAAAACAAACAAACAAACAAAAAACAGAAAAGAAAAGCAAGGGAAGAACACTGGATGATGTAAGTACAAAGCCCTGAGGCTTCCTATGCTCTCCTACTTCTACCTTACTGTGCTACAACCTTTAACCTCCGACCCCCCCGCACTGATTTCAGCCTCCCACGCCCTGAGCTCACCCAGACAGTTTATTTGCCTGTTATCCATCACATCTCCTATGTATTTTAAGATATTTGAATGGATAAACTTAATAAACACTAAATCAATTCAATACAAACTCAGTATCTGAAGTGGAAGAGTCATGTGAGTAGTTTACCTTCTGTACAGGCTATAAAGGCAATGAGTTTAGAACCTATACCCTAGAAAACAGCTATGGAGATTGCTGTAAGCTATTAATAATGAGTTATTTTTTATATATTAAGGAAGGGGAACCTGTGGGAACCCGTTTTCAGGTTCCTCGTGGATTTATTCAGCAGATCCGCATAGAGGATGATTAGGACCAAGGGCCTGAGTGCAGGTGTCTGAGATGGTCTGCACTTGGCTGTGCTGGGGGAAGAGGTCTTTTGCTCCACCTATTGGCATCTCTATAAATGCCCTGGGGCAGAGACAGTCGGGGCCCATTGGAAAAGGTTCCAGGCTCTCTCGAAGCTATCCTTTATTTTCTATCTGTTTATCTCCATGATATTCTCCGCAATATAAATCTTTCTATCTAATATTTCCTGCTGCTCACACTCAAGAAAACTCTGGGGAACTAAAAAAAAAAAAGAAAAAGAAAAAAAAAGATAGCTATATTTTTTTAGACTGGGTCTTCTGTGTAGCTCTGGCTTGCCTGAAACTGGTGATGAAAACCAGGGCGGCCTTGGACTCACAGAGATAAACCAGCCTCTAGCTCCCAAGTGCTGTGATTAAAGGCGTATAACAGCACACCCAGTCAAAATCACCTTAGTTCAATTTAACTCACAAATAAAAACAGCATACATCTAGTTTAAGGGAGCTACCCAAACACTTGCCCAGTCCCAAATTATGCATTTGAGTCTTTAGAAAACGGAAGTGAAAATGCGGAGTCACATACCTGTGTCTGTTTAGGGCCAATATCCATCCTCTGAAGAAGGTCATTTAAAAAGGCGGTCACACTTTCCCAGGGGTAGATACTGTTGGAGCCATCCAGGACAATGACTATGTCCAGCTGAGTGCTACATTCTGAAACAGAAGGAAGTGGTGTGCAAGTCTGAAATCTGCCTTCTTAGGAGTAAGTCAAGTATTTTCCTGGCTGAAAGAAACTCATTTGAAAAGATACACTGATGTTTTTCAAAGTGCAACCATTGTTTAAATACTGTATTTGGTTATAATCAGTTTGGACTTTGTGCCACAGAATGTCCCCCGCTCCTTCTGAAACAGGTTTCTAGTATAGCCCTGGCTGTCCTGGAACTCACTCTGTAGACCAAGCTTGCCTCAAACTCAGAGATCTGCCTGCCTCTGGCTTCTGAAGTGGTGGGCTTAAAGCTGTACACCACTATCCCGGCCTTCTAATTTAACTTTATTAATGATATACATGATACGTTTGAGAATTTTCTCATCACAGGTTTGATTCTATTTTTATTCTGTACAACTCAAAGGACGTTCTCCTCCTCAAAGAGATTCACTCTTTAAATATAATCAGCATGATAGCATTAGCCACAAAGTTTAAACATGATTCTCAAGGTTATTTATACTATATCAATCCCCAAAACAGGAGCAAAGCTTGGTTATATACTGGCAAAGCAAATATTTTCCCAAGTTGGTCATGCTAGTAGATGACAAATCGGTGAAGCCTTTTGGTATGCTCTTATGTATACATGTATCTCACTCAGTGTTTATGCTTTCAAGCACACAAACATTGCATAAGGTGTGTACCTTGTACAGGGGCAAAGGAGTTCACAACTTGAAATGTAGGGCTGACATCAGAACAAATCCCGGTCGTATAATGCAGATGTCCACATCTATAGGCATACAAAGGCCCACATGCCTTCAAAACATAAAAAATGAAAACCTTTAAGACGGAACATCCTCTAACAGGTTTCAAAGACATTAACTAGCTTCATTCTGACTTTTATGAAATATATTACTCTTTTCTTTCTCACCAGAAATCCTCCATTTGGGTTGGTGACTAAAGTTGATCCAAATGTCATGTTTTCTTTGATTTCTGTGACATTGGGAATTGATGTGTTCACTACAAAATAGAACAAAATTTCATGAGCATGAAAATATGTTTCATAATATGAAATGAAGTGCCTCCTCATTAAAACATTCTATTTGCTTTGCTCATCTCATAGCACATTCTTGTTCTGGTTCAACTAAATAGCCTTCCCGGTACTGGGGAATATAATGAGCAAGTTAAGGCTGAAGAGCTGGCAGATTTCCCAGAGACTGTGTCTGTATCACTGTTTCAAATAGTTTGGCTGGACTTCGAAAGAACGCAGAACTAGCAGGGCGATGAGAATGTGGGATCGGTTTTCACACGTTTTTGCTAATTGAAACAAATGCAATATTTAGTTTCCTAAGACTATAGAGATAATTTATGTTCTTTGTTATAAACAATCAGTGGCCAAATTCAACTTTTGGGAGGAAAACTGAAGATGCACAGAACAGAAAAGTCAAACAAAATGGTTTTATCGGGATTTTCAAAATCATAGGGACATTCTGAGAGTTGCAAAGAAAACTGGATCAAGATTAGAGAAGTGTCCAGGAAGTTTGGATAAAGAGAATACAGTGATGGGGCTACATTAGACATTCCAGATAGGAATGTTGGGTCCCACAGCATTCCAACCTGACAAAACTGGCAAGAAGCATTGCTTAAACATTCACATTAAAAAATAAAAAAAAAATAAAAAGACTGGACAAGAAAAGTGAACACTTAAACTCTGCTTGGAGTGGAGGGCATAAATATTTGAAAGTGGCATAACTCAAGTTCAAGAAGACTCTTCACACTGTTCATGTCTGCACATATTCTTAACTACAGGCTTACAGTCAACAGGGAAACAGGTTCCTGGATGGTGCATTTCATTTCCTAATCTGAGAACCCAGTTTTGTTCAAGGATTTGGTATGTCTTGCTTTGAAAACATCCTTTTTTTTTTCTTTTCTATTTTTCCTTTCACTGAAAATAGATTTTTTTCATACAATATATTCTGATTGCGGTTTCGCCTCACCCAACTTCTTGCTGCCTCCCCTCCCATCCACACCTTTTCCTTCTCTCCTTAGAAAACAAACAGGCATCTGAAGAATGGTAATAAAATAAAATGAGATAAAACAAAAACAAACAAAATGAAACAAGATAAAACAAACAGAGGGAAAAGAGCCAAAGAAAAAGCACAAGGAACACAGAGACACACATGTTCACACACATGAAAATCTCATAAAAATACAAAACTGGAAAAACACAATATATACACAAAGGACCTGAAATGTTAAAAAAAAAAAAAAAAAAAAAGCCTTGACAAAGCATTGTGAGTCAAAGGACCTCCAAATGAAACATCTTGAACTGGGCTACTATGTACATTGGTATTCAATGACCTGCATTGGAGGTCTTTAAATGAGCATTGTCTAGGATCATGATGCATTGCTAGGACAATTAGAGGCTATTTAAATGTTTCTTACTGCTAAAATTTCTAGGCTAGTTTAAAAACTATTCTAATTTTCAGGAATGGAGGATAAATCCCAGAAAACTCGAAAGATGCATGAACCAACCATATGAAGACATTGGGAAGAGACCTCAAGCAGCAGGTGGTAGAGGAGACTACAAAAGTGTAAAGAAGAGGCTGACACTGGGCTCCTTGGTTCTGTGTTTCATTTTTCTTTTCTCCTTAAAGAGAGACTCGATCAGGTAATAAAAGTCAAACAGAAGTCCCAGGCTTGGAGAAAAGGAGGGTAGAAATTTAGGGTCAATATCAGCATCTACAAAAAGGAACATAGAGTATCTTGAAAAATGAACCATAAAAGGACAATTATATGTTTAGGTATTTGATCTGTGTATCTGGATAGGCAATGTGAACAGTAGAGTCCATACAGCCTAGTGGAAATTAAAAAGAACCAAATGGTATTCTAAGAACTTACAGCTGGAAAAAAAAATCAGAATCTGGGAATGTGTTCTGCCAAATATATTCCCTGTTAATACAAAAAAAATACCACTCAAAGGAACATAAAAGACTAGAACTACTATATTTATAATTAAAAATATAGTTCAGTTTGTGCTCCAAAAATATGAATAACTAAGGAGAAGCCAAAAAGTTTAATCCAATGTCAAGGAAAGGTAGCAAACTGGAGAGTGATGTTGGAGACATCCTTGATGCTGCAATTGTCAAGCAAGGGCATTCAAACATCTATGGTAGCTGTTTTCATGAATGCAAAAGAAAAATATTCACAATAATTTCTGAAAGAAATTAGAAATTGAAAACCAGAGATCTGAAAAAATGCATTATCTACAGTGAACTTGTAAGGATATAGATAATTTAATCGTTTTTAATATTGTACAGATACTGAAAGAATTCTAAATCCTCCCTAACTTTAGGAGAACTTTTCTAGTCATACTACAATCAAAGTGATATTTCTATGAAAACATAACTTTTTTTTTTTTTTTTTTTGGTTTTTCGAGACAGGGTTTCTCTGTGTAGCTTTGTGCCTCTCCTGGAACTCACTTGGTAGCCCAGGCTGGCCTCGAACTCACAGAGACCCGCCTGGCTCTGCCTCCCGAGTGCTGGGATTAAAGGCGTGCGCCACCACCGCCCGGCTTGAAAACATAACTATTTTGATATAACTATATCTCATATTTTTTTAAAGTCTATTAGTAAATTTAATGAATGCAATTTCTTTCCTTCAGTTTCCTTTGAAGACTTGGGTACTAAGTTGCATTTTGTGTGAGGAATGTGAGAGTCTTTGGCAAACCACCTGTTTTCAAAGGATCCTGAACAATGTAAGAAACCAAAGTACCAGAGGAGTAAGCTATTCCGATTCTATGACTTTCCCAGTGAGTTACAGAAACAAAGTAAGGGCTAAAGGATCCATGATGTTGCTCTGTGTGGGTTCTAGATAGCAACTGTAGAATGGTCATTTATTACTTTTAATACTTTATACTATATTTCATATTAATATTTTATATTATAGTATCAAAATAATATTTTGAGTCACTTGAAAGGTTTTTTTTTTCAGTGAGAATATGGGCATGAGTAAGGATGGACGATTGGATTTCACACACCTGGCAAATCCAACTTCACGCAAGGCATTGCTCTTTCTCTCCCCACCGGGCACTTATAGACATCTCCGGTTCTTGCTTTGGGTTGACCAACGAAAGGAGAACCAATAAGAACCCTGGAAGTTGAATAAAGCAATTAAAAATTTTAAACATAATGAGACAATTGCTTTAATTATCTTATGGTAAATTCTAAGACAGTTGACAGTTGGTCCCATAAACACTACAAGACTGTGACCCTGTTGGTAGGTTAATGTCATCTAAAACAAGCAGAGTGTCACCATCAAGCTTCAGATTTTTAATGTTGCTATAAATCTTAGGAGTCAGTCTGGTTATCTCTAAGAAAACAAACAAGAAATGCTAGGAAGAAAGGGTGTAGAGAAAATGAAATCGGTATAGATTGCATTAAGTACAGCTATTACAAAGCAGGAGAGTTCCCTCATAAAACTTCAGGTGGGGATGGAGAGAGGGCGTAGTGGTTAATAGCACTTGCTGCTCTTGCAGAAGACCTAGCTTTGATTTCCAGCACTCCCACATTGGCTCTCAAATATCTGTAACTCCAGTTCCAGGGGATCTATGCCCTCTTCTGGTCTCTTGAGGACTACATGCACATGGTCTATAGACAAACACACAGGTAAAACACCCATGCACATAAAATAAAAAAAAATAAATATTTTAAACATAAAAAGAAGTACATATTAAAAAATAACTAAACAGTGCATTATCGTCTGATCCAGCTGTACCACTCTGGGATACATACATAGTTGAAGGATTTTTTTTTTTTTTTTGGACATTTTGGACATTTTTAAGCCAGCATGTCCAGAGATACTTACACATCCATGTTTATTGTTACACTATTTACAATAGCCAAGATATGGCACTGGCTTTGATGCTCATCATCAGATGAACACACACACACACACACACACACACACACACACACACACACACACACACGCAGATATAATGGGTTTTCTTCAACTCTAAAGGAGAATGAAATTATGCCATTTGCTGGAAAATGGAAGAAGACATCATAGTGTGAATCAAAATAAGTCAGATTCAGAAAGACAAGTATTTTATATTTATATTTTCTCTTGTATATAGAATCTATACATATATATGCACACACATACATACATACATACATAATATATGACATGAAAGTAGAGAGGGAACCATATTGGGGTAGATGAAAAATTTTAAAAAGCAGGAGGGTAATGGGGAGAAAGACAAATATCATATTCTCTCTAATATGAAGAATCTGGAGCTAAAGGATGTACACATAACATAAAAGCTGCAGTGGAATTAGTAGGGCGGGAGAGGGAAAAGGGAAAAGTGTAAAACCATATGAGTAACAGCAAATGACATACATGTTTAAACAGGGCACTGTGAGTTATTTTCTATACTAACAAAGCATAATTTAAATAATTAAAAAGATGCATTAGGGGCATCATCGATTTTGCTTTATTGTTTTATCTATCACTACCATATTTCTCACAGCTAATCCTGCTACTGTGTTGCTTTATGAAAACACACAAGTATAAATGAGGTTTTTTTCCCATGAGAAACTGCCAATTTCAGAGAAAGCAGGAAACATAAACATGAGATCATCCTGGGATTTAATATGAGAAGGTCTTAGATTAGGAAAGCAGGATAGTTCTGAGATCCCGGATAAAATCTTGTGTCTTTTTAGACAACATGATGAAATACTCCATCACTGATGAAGGAAATAGAGCTGTTTCAGCTCCTCCCCATTTCAGGCAGAGTTCAGATCTGTGCCATTCACCTACATAGTCTCCCAGAATATCATCACGAAAAGACACTTCAGAATTCACGATTGCTAAGGCCCTTGGGTGGATCCCCAACTGATGATTTTGATGATGGCTAAACAGCTATATTCAGTCTCTAGGACTCTTTCATATACCATAAAACTCTGAACTTCAAGATTGTTTGAGGCTATGTTCTTATGAGCTCAGAGAAGACACAAAACACATTAAAGTATTTCAAAACCACATCTATACATAGTTTAGAATATAAGTATGTCTCACTATTCTAGAATAATAAATTTAGATGAACTAAAATTTAATAGGAACTTGTGTAAATAGCTTTACCAAACTGCACATTACTGTCTATCTTAGTACAGGATGTGGGAAGCCTTATTTAATGGGAGTTCATGTGAAAAAGTCATGGAGGATTGGGTTGACAGCACAAAAGCATGAGCCAACAGTGTATTTTGGTGCCAAATATGCTAATGTGACCTTAGGCTGGATTGCTGGAAATAGATGCTCTGGTCAAGGAAAGCGATAGCCCCTCTGTGCTCTGCCCTGGTCATGTCTGGAATCCTCACATTAAGTGGAACATAGGCACAATGGAATGCATTTAGGAGACTGTGACTCAGATGGTTAAGAGTCAGGCAGTTTTATCAGGGAAGAAATGCTTCAGAAAAACTGGGACATTTAGTAAGGAGGGAAATGCCCGAAGAAGGACTAAAAGGTTATAGAGGGGTACAAACGGCTCAAGCAGACACTTAAACAATTTTAAATACTTGTAAGTTTGTTGTGCTGGCAAAAGATGCTGTTTATTTTCTATAAATGCTTTGTAAAAGCTTGAATTAACATAAATAAACTTACAAAAATGATAAATATTGAGCTATGAATCGGAATTCCTTAAACATATGGTGTGGTGCACTGGCTGAACATTTTCTGATGTACACAAAGAACCATAAGAATATTTAAATCTTTTAGGCTACAATTCTTACTTCTAGGAAGTCATCATTAAAATGGTCTAAAATAAGGAAAAGGGCTTAATCCATAAAGGCAATGCTAAGGGATAATTAAGAAACAAGGACAGCAGCAAAAGTAATTGATTATTACAGGTACATTCTGGAGAACCTTGTGCTGCATACAAACCAGAAGTTAATGAGTGTATGCAATAGGATGAAAATTTATCTGTGACCCAATTCAAAGAGAAACCCTAGGCAATTTAAGTGAAAAACTGGTCTAATTTAAAGGAGATGAAACCGAATTATTAAACTCATTATAGTTGCATTGATAACACCCAGCATTTATTGAGTTTATGCCATGTGCCAGACACCATCCTAAGTGCCTTCCATATTCTAAATAATTAAATTCTCTCTGTAGAAGGCAGCACAAGCCTTGGTGATAGGCCTTGTGAGTTCAAGCTGTGGCTTTGGTGTTAATAGCTATCTGGTTAAAGGTAAGTCAGTGACCCTGTTTGTGTCTTACTTTCTTTATGGCCAAAATGAAGGCAGATTCGTATCTCACACTATCATCACCACAAAGGTTAACACAATTAAGATGTGCAAAAGGCTTAGACCAGCCTCAAGCCCATATTATGGGCTCTCTAAATGTCAGTTCTTTCTATTGATGTATCTTTATGTCAGATTAATAGCAATTAAGATCTATGTAACACATCTATTTAAAAGAGGGTGTGTAAAATCACAATGTGCTGCACCAAAGAGATTAAGATTAGTTTCTTCTACAGTATTGTTTTATGCAATATGGCTACACAAATTTATGGTAAAACAGTTTAGAGAAATTAGTGTACTCTTATTGAAACTTTTAGCATTTGGCTAGGTAAGTTAATGCTTATTAAAAATGGGATGGGAGAGATGGCTCCGTGGTTAAGAGCACTTGCTGTCTTCCAGAAGGGTAGGGTGCCCAGAACACACATCTCTGGTGGTTCTCCGTTGCCAGAAACTCAAGGTCTTGAAGATCTCACTCTCTATTCTGTTCTCTGCAGACACCAGCACACACAAGCATGTTCACATGCACGCACACTGACATACACTCATGCACATAAAGAAAAGAGGAGTCTAGCTAGGCATGGGGATGTATGTCCTGGTGCTTGGGATGTATCAGTAGGAAGAACGAGAGATCACAAGTTCAAGGCCATTTCCAGCTATATAGTGAGTTTGAAACATCCTTGAGCTATATGAGACACAACTGGAAAAAAAATAGGCATCTCACATTTAAGTTAGTCCTTGAGATGAGGATAGAAAAGGGATAAAACTCAAAATTCAAGTGTCTTAAAACTGAAGCATGAAGACAACTGTATGTATCACAGCAGTGAATGAGTCTAAATGGTGCAAATTTAGCAAAGTCTTAGGAGGAAATGTGTCACTGTGCTGTTAAGTGCATGGAGTTCAGTGTAGATGGATAGAAGTTGAGTCTGGAGAAGTAGATGAGGCTCAAATCATGAATGTTATTATGGTCCACCATAAAATATTTGCAAGTTCAAAAACCACGGAACCTGTATGTATGTATGTATGTATGTATGTATGCATGCATGCATGTGTTCATCTATTCATTCATTTTTGAGGCAGGATCTTGCTAGGTAGCCAAAGCTGGCCTCCAATTTGTGGTCCTTCTTCCTCCACCTCCCAAGTTGTGGCCTAAAGTTGTGTGTGTTACCACATTTGACTTCCATTACAGGTGAGTGTCTTATAAAACATATTTGCCTGCATTGCTGTGGATAAATTGGAGGGAAGCAAAGTTAGGGGGACAATATAAAAATTCAGATGAAGTATGAACTAAGGAAATAGAGAGAAAAGGAGAACCAATCCTATAAATGAATATTTAGGTGATGAGCTGCTCAGTCTAGGTTCCTCCCAAAGGAGAGCTAAGACAAACAATGACAACAAAACCCCAAGTTAACAAACAAACAAAAAACCCCAATGGTTTAGAGAGACTCTTTCAAGACATTTCTAGGCATGCACAAATGTGGAGTTAGAAGAAGAAAAAAGATAGAGGGGATAAAGAAAGTAATTCTGGCTATAGAAATAAAGAAATAAAGAATGGGTTACTTCCATAGGTAGCTGTGATCAGAAACCATGTGAAACATATATAAGCATACTGTGAGCCTGGCATCAGCCTACAGGTAAGTATTACCTCCTTGAAGTAGTGCAGAGTAAGAAAGGGCTGAAATCTGGCATGTACGTGAAAGAAGAAAATGAGATAGGAGTGACCAGAGATAGAGAGAGAGAGAATGTGGAACCAGTGGTGTCACAAGAGCCAGAGAAGGGAAAAGGTCCAGAGTGACAGGTGAGACAGCCTCATTGAAAGATAGTCATTTCTACTACATTCATTTTACAAAACAA